AATAATTGTCTGCAAACTTACTCTTGAAACTGATTAATTTTTCGGGATTTTGTAACTAGCAAGTTGAAATTTTCACCATTTTTAGAAAACACCTGACTGTGAAGGGGCTGAACATTTCATAAAAATCGTCCATAATCCTGCATTTTATCACCATGTTGGTCTCACAATGGATACTTTCACTCTACTGCACTTTCGCCCATAAAATTATTTCTTTCGAACTAACTCAACTTTAAATTTTTACCATCTTTAGAAGACTTCTGTCTGTAAATATGCAACAAGTTTTATACAAGTAGCACCGAATTCTGAATAGTATTAACTGAGAAAATATCGGTTTCATGATGGATGCTTTGGCTCAACTGCGCTCTCTCCTTTGAAATTTCGTCTCTTCTAAACACGCACAAGTAGCAATTCAAAATATTCACAGTTTTTAAAATACTCTATATTTTAAAGACACTAAAAGTTTTCTTTCCGAAAATCTTGAGTATTTGCAGCGTAGAAAATATCGGTCTCATAATGGGTGGTTTTACTGAAGTGTGCTCTCTCTTTTAAAAATTAACGTATTTCAAACAAACGCAACTAGCAATTAAAATTTTTCATCATCTTTAGAAGTCTCATAATGAATTATTCTACTCAACAGTGCTCTCTTCTTACAAAATCGCATATTTCAAACGAAGACAATTGGCAAATTGAATTTTTCATGATCTTGAAAAGACACTTGACTGTAAAGGTGAGAAAACTTTTTTAAACATTTTCTGGAATCCTGAGGTTTACCACCTTCGAAAAGATCGGTTTCAAATTATTTTTTTTACTCAAATGCGCTCTCGTCTTTAAAAATCCGGATTTCTTTCAGTGATGCGAGTCGCCACTTCAAATTTTCACCACCTTTAGAACACACGTGAGTGAAATAATTCTGAGACTTTCACGAAAATCCTTCCTAAGCCTGAGTTTTCCCAGGTTAGAAATCTCGATCTCATAATTAATGCTTTTGCTCAACTGCGCTCTCTCCTTTAAAATTTCGCATCTTCTAAACACGCGC